AATACTATCAAGAACAGAGCTGAACTTGATTATCATCCAATTGCAATCGAAAATAAAATAAGTGGAAAGGAGCACCACTATCAAAACCAAATAAAATGATATAATAAATGAAAACCATATCATGATCAAGTCAAGTCAAATGAAAAAATGAAAAATCCGACCACCATCAAACCCAAATTAAACATAGGAACTAATTCAAAAGCAATATATAAGAAACTATGTCTTTCTCAATCCACAACTCCACAAGCAACCCTAATCGTCATTCCAGTGGAAAGACCAGCCATAACACAAGCAAGGCCCGGCTACAAATGTGCATACTCATCAAATAAGTAATAAAATTTTGCCCTAAACAGAGCATACATAAAAACCCTGAGAATCTCAATTATTGAGAATTCCAAGAGATTTGGCCATAAAGGGAGCACACAAAAACCTTGATGCTATGTTTGGAAGTATTGAATTGGTGACATTTTATTTGTAAGATGCATATTTGTACACCTATGAATTTTTTGGGAGGACCTGTAGTGAAGAGTAAACTTCCTAAATTCTTTCCAACTTGTTAGACGTTTTTTGTCATCACGGGTATCTATCTAATCTTCTGTTTGTTATTCAGTGAAACCCCTCATTCTCTTTGAGTTTCAATTTCTTTAGGAATCTAAATAAATCGAAAACTGAAGAGCATGTTTCACTCTTTTACCTTCTTGAATATTTCAAAACCAAGTACTGAAACTGTTGGAGGTTGGATGGTAGTGGCTTTTTTACTACAAAGCAAGTTTTTGCTTTTAGGAGAGACAATCCACTTCCCTTTTATTTAGCAATATGGATAAGTAGGACTAGTGCTCCATTCTAAAGTCCAAATTTTTTTTTTTGGTGGCTCACAAGAGAGTCCATGCTATTAAGGTGGACCAGACTAAAAGGTCTACCATATCTCCTTGGTCTGAATATCTAATGAGGCCTCTGCTCAGCTTTAGTCTTTTGCTGAGTGATTAGTATCATTCATGTAATTTTATGCATCTCAAATTATCTAAAGAACTGACTCAATCAAGGTATAATATTACCAATTAAAGAAGAGCATTGCAAATTTTCTAAAAAGCATTCCTAATTGACCATTGTAATGCTGTGAACAATGTCAAGAAAACATCAAGGTGTTTGCATAACCCAATAGAGATATTATAAAAACACACACAAACACACAGAGTAAGGAAAAAAATCAAAATCAAAATTACAAAATGAGAGGAATGGATTATAACAGTTTCTAAATTCTAATTTAAATTAGCATCAATTCAACGTAGTTTTCTCTTCGCGCCCAGACAAGCAACCCTAATAATACATTATAGCAGTGACTAAGGAACATTAGAAAATTAAGAAAGAGAATAAGAAAACTAAAGGTAGAGTAGATAGCAACTGACCTGGGTCTCCGAATCTGGTCAAATTAGAACTAGGAATTTATTAACATCAAAGTGGAGCTTTGTCCCATATATAGAGGTCCGGTCTTGCTTTTGGGCCGGGTTTGGGACAGGTCCACCTTTGTATCGCATAAATGACAAAACAAACTCTTGATTTATGGAAATTACAATGATTTTGATTTATGGAAACAAGCACATTCATGGAAATTCTAACAACAGTGTATTCCGGCCACCACCCCACTTCTCCACACCACCAGTGTATTCCGGCGAAAGAACCACCACCACCGTCTCCACCCCAAAAATACCACCACCAGTGTATCCCACCCCACCACATCTCATCGGTGAATTGATCTGCGGCGGCAGAGACAATCAACAACGTGCAAACACAGCCGGAAAAAGTAAAGGAAAAGGATTGATGATAATAATTTTCTCTCTTCATTTTCGGACTAAATCATCCTCCGCCGGGATTGATCGACCCGGCGATTTGATAAATTTGATTTGGAGTTGCGACTGCGAACGGAATGCGACAGCCGAGGAGCCGCTATTGCAAACTGATTTGATGAATTGGGAGTGGCGATTGCGAACCAAGAAGCTGCGATTGCAAACGGAATGCGACAACGAGGAGCTGCGATTGCGAACTGAAAGCCAGAACCCAGTCGTCCAAGGGGCTGCCATGGAGTTGCGGTGGTGGTTGACGGCCGGTGGTGGTGCTGCGATTGCGAACTGAAAGCTAGAAACCAGTAGTCCAAGGGGGCGAGAACCCAGTTGTCCAAGGGCGGCCATGGGGTTCCGGTGGTGGTTGACGGCCCTCTGTGGTGGTAGAATAGGAACTGAAGCGTGAGAGTTATATATATATATATATTATATAGTAGTACATATTATGTCTATTAATTTATTTTCTCAATTGTCGTTTGACTTTGACCACCATTTGTTGAGTCAGACCACCACAGAGGGCCGTCAACCATCACCGGAACTAAAAAAAAAGTGAGTCTACTGATTAAGGTGATTCGAGCTAAAAAAAAAAAAAAAAACTAAGGTGATTCATTATATGAAAATCGATTGCATACAAAATAGGTCAAATAATTGTCTTTTTAAAGCTTTATTAAATATTTTATTAGATGATTACAGTGAATTATAAAGTCACAGTGTAAAACAAAAATTTGTGTATGTAATCAAAAAATTGATTAAAAACGTACCCACATATTTGAGGACTCGCATCTAACGTCTTTCTAGTTCACGTGCTTTCTCTCTCCCATGACCTTGCTTTTATACCAATTGTTAAAACCTCCACACATTTTTTTAATCAATTTTTTGATTATACATACACAAATTTTTGTTTTACACTGTGACTTTGTAATTCACCGTAATCATCTAATAAAATATATATTACGCTATTAGTGTCACACCTCTTAAAATATTAAAATTCACCACTAAATACATAAAATCTCTCATCCAATATGCATGAGACAATTATTAGAAAAAATATTTTAGTAAAAGTTTTGCCGTTAAATTATCCCATCCGATTGTATAGGTTTATTTGTTCTCTTTTCTATCAACTGAATTAAATTATATAGGTTTTAGTAGTCTTGGAAGTAAAATTTCTAACTCAGACATATTACAAATCATTTTAGCTATCCATTGGTATATAGCAACTGAATTGAATTAAACGAATATTTTTTTTATAACACGATTATAATAATTTACTAACTTTGCAATTTGGGCAAGATTTATTTTTCAATATTTGAAGGTTAATATAAAATTTTGATGAATTTTATTGTGAATGATTTTTTTTTTTTTTACTGTGAATTGATAATGAAAAGAATGAAGTAATGGTGAAATTAATTAATAAAAAGCATACATTAGCAAACTTTTGTGATAAAACATGACTTTTGCTGCTTCATTTTTTTTTTTTTTTTTTTTTTGATGTAATTTATGTTTATTTTCAACACAGAAGATCGCATAATACGTATATTATGTAGAGTTTATTAATTTAATAAATTATATATTTAATTTTTCAAACATATAATATTCAAATCTTGAATTTTAAGTGGAAAATCTAAACTTAAATACGAAAAATAATCATTTTTGTATCTATTTAACCTATTCTATGATGACATCCATTAACTAAAAATTATTTCCATTAAATTCATTCGAAAATGACCTGACTTGAAAAATTATATTAATAATTTCCTAATGTTTATTTCGGTATAGGGGTGTCTCCGTAATTTGACACAGAAACACATTCGGACCTCGTGTGAGGAAAATTCAATCAAGCACAACCGACTTCACAGCGCGCCACTTTCTTCCAACATTCCCCAATTAAAAACCACACACTAACCACAATACAGTACTACATTGTGCTGCGATTGTGCTGAGAGAGGAGAGAGAAGAGAGTAAGAGCAGAGAGAAGAGAGAGAAAGCGGAGAAAATGGAGAGAGAAAAGAGAGAGAAAGCAGAGAAAATGGAGAGAGAGAATCAGGTACGATGACGATGAATGCATACGTATATTTGTGTGTGAATTGTATACCTAGAATTTTGACTAACTTAATCTGATTGAGTTTATCTGATCTTATTGTAATTGATCAAAGAGAGAGAAAGCAGAGAAAATGCAGAGAGAGGAGACAGAGAAAGCAGAGAAAATGGAGAGAGAGAGTCAGGTACGATGACGATGAATGTATATGCATACGTATATTTGAGTGTGAATTGTATACCTAGAATTTTGACTGACTTAATCTGATTGAGTTGTCTGATCTTATTGTAATTGATCAATGTAACAGACAATTGAGAAGAATAAAATGGAACTGGTGTTGACAGATGATGAGAATGAAGAACATTATCAGGTTCATTCATTTTCTTTGCATATATAATTATTTATAATTTCGACATGTGTATACGCTTGAAAGAACTTGAAAGATAATGGAGATTGACTTTCTGCTCGATCGATGAAGAGATAAAAACGAATTTGATAGTATGTACTCTTTGTGAATTTATAATTCTATATGTAAAATTTGTAGCTTATTAATCTAATCGAGATTATAACAGACTGATTAGGAGAAAAATGATAATGATAGAGATTTGAATACGCAAATTTGATCATAACATGTTTTGATTAATTATACATATATACTGTGTGAATTAATAAACATGTCTAACTTTTCATATGTTTATATATATATATAAAAATAATTTTTGAATTTGATTAACTATAGTGCGTGTGTATTTATTATAAGCCTATTTGAATTTTAAAACGGCCAATGAGTTACTGTGTGAACTTTATATGAATAATTTAAAATGAATGTCTAATTTGAAATGTGAATTTAAATGAACAATTTGAAATACTGTTTACATTTATTTGTTTAACTTGAAATTCGTCCATAGTTACACACTGTATGCACGTAGACTTGAGAGGAAGGGCTTTAACAAAGGTAAAGGCAAGGTTAATTAGCTACTAATACTGTATTAACGAGATTGACATAGAGAGTATTTTTATTATTTTGCAACAGCCATCTAAATAAATAAGCAAATGCGTATAAAGAACACAGCATTCACAGTGAACAAAACATAGAGAAATAAGCAAAACCAGTGACCATGTCTAAATTTAGAGAAATAAGCAATACACATTGAACATGTCTGTAAAGAACACAGCATTCACATACAGAGTCCTTCTAGAGGACTTGGTTAAACAAAACATTTGAGCTTTTGCTTGATACTTGTATCAATCCAGCAGTTCAAGACTTCCAAAACCATCTGTTTCTGTGGATTGCAACCATTTGAGTCCTGGTTGTTTTATACTCTTCTGCACTTGCTACATCTTTTCACCAACTCGAAACTTCGAAACTTCCATGTTCGCCTTTTAGAAGCTGAACCACCTGCAATTGAGCAATACAAATAAACATCTGCATATGCCTTTGATGAATCTTTGAAGGCTTCTTGCCTTAGTTTGTTTGCTATAAAGTTTACACACTCTGTGTGGAGACTTGAGAGGAATGGATTTAACAAACAACAGTAATGGCTACTAATATTAACCAGATTGAGTAGAGCAAAGAAAGACGAATGCACTTGGATCGAGCCAATCCGTTCAAGTAACGGATTCTAATTCGAACTCAATATGGACAATTCCTAGAACATCCTTCTTATACACAAACATGAAAGCCTAACAAGCGAATCCCCGAAGCGAGTGATTGTGCACGAGCAGAGCTCTATCCACTTTTGACTCTTAGCGCTCTATTCTGATCTTTTTGTTAACACATTGTAAACATGCCTATAAAGAACACAGTATAGAGTCCTAAGTTAATATATACAAGTAAATTAATGTTCTAACTTTAGGGATATAAGCAATACACAGTCAACATGCCTATAAAGAACACAGTATAGAGTCCTTAGTTAATATATATTTCGATTATTTAACCAACTCTAACAGAAATTTTAAATTTCTGTGCAGATGAAGGAAGAGACTGTCCAATGGACTAGCACCAAAGAGGTAAAACGTAACTTCCTATTATGGTTCTAATTGCTTCATCATTCACTTTGTTAAAAATTTCTATGAGCAAGTATATATACAAGCATGTACTAAAATATGTACACGTATTTTATATATACACTTACATGTTTATATATATTTAAATTTGTCAATACATGTGTTCATGTTAATATATTTATACACACAAACAAGAAAGCCTAACAAGCGAATCCCCGAAGCGAGTGATTGCGCACGAGCAGAGCTCTATCTACTTTTGACTCTTAGCGCTCTATTCTGATCTTTTTGTTAACACATTGTAAACATGCCTATAAAGAACACAGTATAGAGTCCTAAGTTAATATATACAAGTAAATTAATGTTCTAACTTTAGGGATATAAGCAATACACAGTCAACATGCCTATAAAGAACACAGTATAGAGTCCTTAGTTAATATATATTTCGATTATTTAACCAACTCTAACAGAAATTTTAAATTTCTGTGCAGATGAAGGAAGAGACTGTCCAATGGACTAGCACCAAAGAGGTAAAACGTAACTTCCTATTATGGTTCTAATTGCTTCATCATTCACTTTGTTAAAAATTTCTATGAGCAAGTATATATACAAGCATGTACTAAAATATGTACACGTATTTTATATATACACTTACATGTTTATATATATTTAAATTTGTCAATACATGTGTTCATGTTAATATATAGGTTCTTTTTCTTGGATGCATCAGTTGAACAGCATAGTAAAGAAAGAGAAAAAGTACATGAAAAGTAGGAAAACCAAAAACTGAAGCAAGCACTCGAGCATAGGAAGCAACAAAGACAAAATCCTGGGATTAAAAAAAAAACAGCAATTCCTCTAGAAGCCACTGAGAGCACCAACATACAATTAGCTAGCTGTCTAAAATTTGACTTTGGAAACATATATCCCCACAACAACAGACATTTTGGTGAGGATTTATAGTCAGTGCACTTACCAGATGGATATAACCTTGTCTGGAAAATTCTTCCAAGCCCTCTGGTTCCACTTGTCTTTTTCTTTCCCACTTGAAATGGATCTTGCCTTCTCATATGCTTATCTAACTATTCATTGAAATATTTACAGCATTTATGTGAGGAATGGCTAAAAATTTCTGGAACAGAGGCACATCTGGATGATGGAAAAAATTTCGAGGTAAACATCAATCATCTTTTTGATAGAATTGATTGAAGATTTGTTTTTCTTTTTTGATAAATAAGTAATCATTGAAAGCTTTTTTTTTTCAAGGAGCTGTGGGAGGAAGCAGTTAAGACAAAAAGTCAAACTGAGAAGAAAACAAGGAGGCTACAAGTGTTTAAAGATGTTGAAAATGGGTTATATTCCTCGGCAGACATTGAAGAAAAGCCCTCAGAAGACATCGAACAAGGGCCCGCACTTCCTGGACCTACTCTAGCAGCAGCACCACAACTACCTGCTCCTACTCTGCCACTGCCCGATCCTCCTGCTCTGCCACGGCCACCGCCCACTCCTCCCGGTCTGCCACAGCCACTGCCCGCTCTTCCTGATCTGCCACGGCCACTGCCAGCTCTTCCCGGTCTGCCATGGCCACGTCCGCTGCCACCGCCCACTCCTCCCGGTTTTGCAGTTCCTCCTGGTTTGCCACATCCACAGCCCACTCCTCCCAGTCTGCCACTGGTTCCTCCCGGTTTGGCACAGCCACCTCCCGCTCCTCACAGTCTACCACGTCCATCGCCACCGCCCACTCCTCCCGGTTTTACAGTTCCTCCCGTTCTGCCACTGCCACCGCCCGCTCCCCCCGTTCTGCCACTGCCACCGCCACGGCCCGCTCCTCCCGGTTTTGCCATTCCTCCTGGTTTGCCACGGCCACCGCCCGCTCCCCCCGTTCTGCCACTGCCACCGCCACGGCCCGCTCCTCCCGGTTTTGCCATTCCTCCTGGTTTGCCACGGCCACCGCCCGCTCCTCTTGGTCTGCCACTGCCACGTCTACAGCCCGCTCCATCCGGTTTGGCACAGTCACCGCCCGCTCCTCCCAGTCTGCCACGTCCACCGCCACCGCCCACTCCTCCCGGTTTTGCAGTTCCTCCTGGTTTGCCACGGCCACCGCCCGCTCCCCCCGTTCTGCCACTGCCACAGCCCGCTCCTCCTGGTTTTGCCGTTCCTCCTGGTTTGCCACGGCCACCGCCCGCTCCTCTTGGTCTGCCACTGCCACGTCCACAGCCCGCTCCTCCAGGTCTGCCACGGCCACAACCCGATCCTCCAGGTCTGCTAGGAGCTGCTGCTGGCCTGCTAGGAGGAGAACCTGGTGCTGGTCTGCTAGGAAGAGAACCTAGTGCTGGTCTGCTAGAAAGACCACCTAGTGCTGGTCCACCAGCTCATCTTGGACCACCACCAGCTTAAAACTGCACACATATTTACAGAAACTAATGCTGCTGTTCTATGAGTCATCATGAATCATTTGCAAATAAAGGGATATAAAACTATTACCTGATTGATCCTTTCTTTTTCTTTTTCTTTTTTTTCTTTTTTTTCTTTTTTTTATGCACCGTGAATCTACCATTTGAAATTCTACTAAATATTTCACATTCCACATTCAGGAAGGTAACAAGAACTCCATTCAAGTTCTTCATCAGTTTTGACCTTTACTTTTGAAAAGGTTAACACTGATGGTAAATTTTACCCCATACTGTCTCTGCAACCTCCCAGCATGGACTTCAGAGGCAAAAGACACGATTTTGGAATTCATAGTTTATTTAAAAAGTAGACAGTGAATGTCACTTTAAAATACTAAATTATCAAAATTGCCTTAAAAAAAATGGAAGTATAAGGGCCTGTTTGTTATGTGTTTTACTTTGGTGTTTTTGTTGCAGGGCTTCATTTTAGGCCCAAAAACATGTTTGGTGACACTTATTTTGTTTTAAACAGTACAAAAATATTGTTTTAAACAGTGCTGAATTTGGGTCCAAAAGTGAAACACCAAAATGGTGTTTTTGGTTGTTTCAGTACTGTAGCCCAATAAAAAACACTGTAGCGGATGAAGTAAGTTGGTCCAATACTGTAGCGGATGAAGTAGCCTTAAAACGGATTTGCAACATTTTGGCCCGATGTTTTCTCTCTCCTCTGAAACCCTAGAGAAGCGATTTGGGAGGCGACAAAAAGGAATCGCGATATACTGTGAGTACTGTCTTCTATTTCCCTTTCTTTGTTGTTTCCTTTGATATTGTTTCCAAATCTGCAAGCACGAAGTCCAAATCTGTAAAGAAAATCTATACGTATACTCTCATATAGTCACAAAGACGAATTTCTTTCGACTCTCTCTCTCTTTCTCTCTCTGGTATAAAAATTGTCAAGGGTTTTTGCTTTTGGGCGCCATGGAAGGCTCTTCTGCTCCGCCGTCGATTTCAAACCAACCGGACGGCGGAGCCTCCATATTTCTCGCCGATCTTCTCTCTCGCGGCCTGTTCTCCTCCGCTGTCCTTTCTTCAAATCCGGTGATTTCTTTCACAACAACCTGTATGTCGAATTCTACACCACACACACAAACACTCACATGTGCGTGTTTGCTGATACATGTATGTATATATATAAATTGGGGCTCCTTATGTCTTGTATTCTTTTGTAGGTGGTTATTGCCTTGTGTTTTTTTGATTGAAGCTAAGGTGGGTGGTAGTTTGTATCTCTAGTCTCTGTAATTGCTACTGGGTTACATCTACCAAGAGTGTGATTTTCAGTAATTAATTGTTGCTGAGGAAGTAAATGTAGTGATTGACTATTGATTACTGAGCAAGTTTGTGGTGTTTCTATTCAAGCTTGCCGTGGACTGGTTGACAACAGCAACTGGGAATACTAGTACTCTGGCTGCATTTACCACTGCTAATTCAACTGTTTTAGCTCTTTTTGTGAGCCCAGCAGCCGTTCTAATAATCATATGAATTAGGTTTGTTGAGCTCTCTTTTCTTTTATACGGAGAATTTTAGAAAAAGATAAAAGTAGTAATTTCATATTTTTATTTCTCTCTGTTCAATTATTTGGATTTTGAGGAAATGGTATTATGGAAAATTCTCTGATCTAATGCAGTTAAAGTCTCTAGCTTTTCAATTTCTTTTTTTATTTTTCCAAGAAATCGACGATGGCGATGAGGAATTTGTTGTGTCTTGTTAGTTTATAATTAAATGGTCTGATATGCAAAATATAGTAAATATTGAACTCCTAATACAAAATATAGTTAATAATGAACTCAAATAATTTAGATATAAGACTTGAGGGTTCCTTAATGTGGTTACGATTCTGACATACCAATAGAAAAGAAGTATGATGATGGTCTTGAGAAGTAATTGATTACCAGGTGAGTAGGTATGATTGTCACAATAGGAGACTTAATTGGTTGATGAAGAGAGATAAGTGCATATTGAAATTTAAATTTGACTTATCAAAAAGATTGTCAAAATTCAGATATATAGAGAACTTAATGAATTGAGATGTACTCTTTTATAAGCAAATCCCAAATGGTGATATTATTGTTTGGAAATTTTAAGTAGATGCTTTATCCACTCAATCGAAGGCTTAAAGTTGTTTATTGTATGCATTTTATGAATTACGGGATCATTTTGGTCTTATACCTTTCTTCCTAGCTAGTCCCATACAATCAGATTATCCATCCCAATGTGCATATATGTTTGCTCTCTAAGTTTTTTTCTATCAATTTACCTGGTGGTATGATTGTTTATTCATATATGGACGTCGTCTAACTTTGACGGCTGTTGGTAGCTTACAAGTAGCAAGTAGAATTATGAGATCTCTAATTCAATCTGTGAAGCATAGAATCAACTAAAGTAAGCATACGCTAGTTTCAGCAAAGAGTCAGGAAGATGGATGTGAATGTATAGAACGTCACACTGTCATAAGCATTTAAATCACTGCCTTGCCCAAGTAGCTCTATTGTACAGTGACTTTGCTATCTGAAATTATTGAAATAAATATCGTCCTTAAAAAGAGACAGTGGCAATAGGATTAGATGGGAATCGCCTATTTGGGAGCTTGTAGAGTAATAGTAAAGTGTAGCGAGCTTGTAAAGTAATAGTAAAGTGTAGCGTGCTTGAAAGAGGTAGATGCTGTAGAATGTATGACTAAACTTCTAGGAAATATTTTGAACTTTTACTCTTCACATATGATTCTGGGTACCTTTTGGGTTAGCAAAGTCTTGACGAATGTCATGCATGGTTGATTTAGGTAGAGCACGTCAGAACTAAAGATCTAACACCCGTTTACTGAACAACCATTTTGCCCTTGTGAGTTAGGCTTATCCTTACTGGGTGATCATAGTTGGACCTTCAGAAGATATTTATTCATGTAGGTCAACTATTAATTTTCCTCTTAACCATGGAAAATATGTGTGGAACTTTTGGAAAGTTCCAAGTTCTGCTCTTTCTATTTTTTATTCTTTTGGTCTGCAGGAAAGGTGACATGTATGCAAACTCAAACTCTCTTCAACAGGAGGCTCCGTGGCATGACTTATCAAAAAATGAGACTCCACGGCATGCTGCACAGTTATAGTATAGAAAATTGGCTTGGGAGCTTAGGAGTGACATGGTTACAGAGTTTCCAATTAGATTAGGCGATACGCATATATAAAATGACTAGGTTCAAGGTTATACAAGTCTACAAAAGGATAAGAAAAATATGAATAATTAAGTGGATGCATAACATGTAAGTATGCTACAATATTAAATGATAAATATTCCATACAATCGAAAATATACTGTTATTGATATGAATTTTTAATTAAAAGTTTATCTAGAAGCAAAAGTTTCTCAAAACTCTCCAAATCATTTTCTTGTAAAGTTTGTGGCATATTTAATCAAGAATTGAGCACTTTTAAGTAAAATATGCATAAGTTCAGAAGAATATCTGCATCTTTTACTCTTATTGAATTTAGGATTTCTAGAATAAGAAAACACAATTATTAGTGAAATTTTGTGACTAAGAGTGCTTCCCTTCTCCTCTCACGTATGTGTATATATATACAATTGCTATTACAATGAAATAACCATATTTCCCTTTAGTAAAATACCTAATATTGTAACATTTATCACCAATTTGTCCTTTCTCTTCTTGTTTTTTATTTTTTATATTTTCATTCAGTATTCTTTATTAGCAGCATGAACTTCTCGTAGGACTTTCCAGCACTTATGCCATATTAACTATATGTACGTTTCCTAGGAACTAAGTAAAACCTAAAATTATAAGCTCTTTCTAGCAAATGTATAAAAGGGGAATAAATATATTCTAATAGTATAAACATTCATGAATCAGTAGTTGTGATAGAGTAACTTTAATACCATCAATAGTTTTTCCTAGTTTAATATTATATATATATTTTTTGTTATTAATTATAGTGTTGTTATTAATATGTTAGATGGATATGAATGTTGAGAATGTGGAACAATACGGTGATTCTCTCACAATTGAAGAAGTGGTTGAAGTTACGAACGATGGAAAATTGTTATGGGATGAGTCACTCATTGAAAAATTCGTGAATATTATGGTGGAAGAAGTTAAAGCTAATAATTGTAGTGGCACAACATTTAGTAAAAGTGGTTGGAGTAATTTAGTCAAACAAATGAATGTTCAAACGGGGAGAAAATTTGGTTTAACCCAACTTCGGAATAAGTTTAATGGTTTGAGGAAAATTTATACTGAGTTTAAGAAATTATTATCGGAGACTGGCGTGGGATATAACCATGAGACAGGCATGGTTATAGTTGAGGAAGAGAGATGGGACAGGTTGTGCAAGGTTAGTAATTTAATTATTAGTCCTAAATAAATAATAAAATCTTGTATATTATTGGTTATGTGGTTAATATTATAACAAAATTTATAGGTTGTTACGAATGTAAATAAGTATAAAAAGTATGGATGTAAGCATTTTGACAAGATGTCGACTATATTTGGGGACACATATGCAAAAGGGATGCATGCCCACCCATCCACTACAGCACCACCCACAATCATTTTGCCCACTCCCAATGATGACGATGATGAGGAAGAGGGTTGTGAGGTCAGTCCCCCACCTTTACGTAAAGGTATGAAAGCCAAAAGAGATGCTTTATCTCCTGGTATAGTTACATTCTTGTCAAACATGAATGAGAATTCTGAGAGGAGAGCTGAGAGAATGGAAGTTGCAATAGAGAAAGCAGCTAAAGCATCTTCTACTTCTACTCGTGTATCTTCATGTGATAAAGGAGATGATGAAGCTCCCTCTCCCTCAAAAAATGATAGAGATTATGAAATGTTTGATGCCTCCATGCTCCTTTTACAAAAAATACCTGGAATTGAGATGGCCCAATTCGCTAAGGTATCGAAGTTATTACATGATTCTGAGAAGTGGCAGAAATTTTTTCTTTCGGCACCTGAGGATGTAAGAATTGGTTGGGCATTGAATGTTTGAGTTTTTCTTTATGGATGATTGTGTTTTGTGTCATCGTTTAACTTATTACTATCTCACATTTGGATGACTGTAATAACTTAAATACTTTTATTATCTCACATTTGGATGACTGTAATAACTTAAATATTTTTATTATCTCACATCTGGATGACTGTAATAACTTAAATACTTTTATTATCTCACATTTGGATTACTGTAATAACTTAAATATTTTTATTATCTCACATCTGGATTGCTGTAATAACTTAAATACTTTTATTATCTCACATTTGGATGGCTATAATAACTTAAATAATTTTATTTCTTGGATGCCTGTTAGTACTCAAATACTTTAATACCATTATTTAAATGTTTGTTTTATTATTTAAATGTTTGTTTATTATTTAATTGATTTGCTTATTAACTTAAATGTTTTACTTGTATTAAATCTTTAAATAGGGTAATGGATATGTGGAACAATATAAGAAGAATAATTCAATTATATGACGATGAAGAGGACAATGAGAGTGTCTTAATATTTGCTGCTCTTTTAGAAGAGCAGAACTTCTATCAAAAGAGGCGTTGTAGGGATTCCATTTTACAAGGGGAAACATATGTTATGGAGATTTTAAACGGCCATAGAGAAAGATGTTATGAAAATTTTAGGATGTACCCTGAAGTTTTCAGAACATTGTGTAGTACCCTGAAAGGTATAGGGCTGAAGGATTCTAAATTTTTAACTGTTTATGAACAAGTGGCAATCTTTTTGCTCACTTTATCTCATAATCAAAGGAATTGTGTTGTAGCAGAGAGATTTCAACACTCCACTGAAACCATTTCTAGACACTTCCATGCTGTGTTGCATGCAGTATGTCAGTTGGGCACCCATATCATTGCCCCTCCTAATTTTTCTAGTGATTCCGAATAAGATTAGAGAGTCTTCTAGGTTTTACCCTTACTTCAGGCATTGTGTGGGAGCTATAGATGGAACCCACATTCCTGTAACTCTGCCAGCAAGTACACAACTTCCATTTCGTGGTAGAAAGGGTTATACTACACAAAATGTAATGGCTGTATGTGACTTTGACATGAGGTTCACATATGTGCTAGCTGGGTGAGAAGGCTCAGCTAATGATTCGAGAATCCTAAATGGTTAGTTTATCATACTGTATATATCTTTATGTATTCTAAACATGGCAGGTAAGTATTATTTGGTGGACTCAGGGTATGCCAATAAGCCTAGTTATTTAGCCCCATTTCGAGGTCATATTTACCACTTTCAGGAATATCGTAGGACTAGACAACCTCGTGGTCGGGAGGAAGTGTTCAATCATAGGCATTCATCTTTGAGAAATATAATTGAGCGATGCTTTGGGTTATTGAAGATGAGATTCGCTATTTTGAGGGCAATGTCTCCTGATAAGTTTTCAACACAAGTATTGATTGTAATGGCTTGTTGCACATTACATAATTTCATCAAAAATTAGCATCAGCCTGATGAC